TGCGGGGCAGTGCTAGCTGTGTCTGCCGAGGGAGGGGGCGGCGGCATCGGAGGGGCGCAGGGGCTGGGGATGTGGAGGGAGGAAGATGAAAGGTTGGGGGAGGGTGACGATGTTATTGACACGACACAGGCACAAAGGGAGAGGGTGGCGGTCTCAAAGGGGGCGTGAGTGGGGAGTAGCTGGCATCGGGAAGTGATGGATGCAGAGATCGACTGGAGGTGGGGGCGGGGATGTTGGAAGCTTGGAAACGTCAGAGTTGGAGAGTTGGAGGGGCGAGGTTGGGGGTTTGGAGGAGGGACCGTTGGCAGGATTGGAAGGAAATTGGCAAGGAAAGTGGCTGAATCCTGAGCCTGGCAGGACTGGGGGCGGATTGGAAGGAAAGGGGTACAAATGTGGCTTTCCCCTGGCAGGGCTGGGAGTGAAGCTGTGCAGCTCAGCGCCGGTGTTTGCGACTGTGGGTTGGTGTGTACGGCCTTGGAGGCGAGGGGAAGGCATCGGGACTGACCCATGGTGGGGACCCGGCCTTACTCCGCTTCCCTCCCTTAGCCACCATGTTCAACCAGCAGCAGCAGCAGCAGTTCCAGCAGCAGCAGCTGCAGCAGCAGCAATTGCTGCAGCTTCAGCAGCTGCTGCAGCAGCCCCCACCACAGGCCCCCTTGCCCATGGCTGTCAGCAGGTGAGTTTCCCACTTGGGGGATGGAGGCCTCAGCTCTCACCCATGTCTTGCAGCACCTCCATTCAGTCCTTTGTCCCAGGGGCATCCTTGTTTTGAGTCCTAGAGCTCATCACCTCCCACCCCCAAGGGGATCCTCCCATCTGTGTGGGAGGGTGGGCTCAGGAGATGGGGGTCTCAAGGAGGAAGGTGGTTCTAACTTTCCCAATCACCCTCTGACACTCCCTCCAAACACACAGGGGCCTCCCCCAGCAGCAGCCCCAGCAGCAGCTTCTGAGTCTCCAGGGGACCCACTCGGCCTCCTTCCTCAATGGCTCCATGCTCCAGAGAGCTTTGCTTTTGCAGCAGTTACAAGGTATGACTCAGGCCCCTTTGCATCCTGTGTGGACACTGGCTCCCCAGCAAGCCAAGCACTCAGTCTCACCAAATCACAGTGACCCTGAGAGTGCCCTGACTCACAGTTAAGGACACCCAGGCTCCAGGGGTTGAAAGACTCTAAGCTGCTCAGCTGAATGCAGGTCCATCTGCAGACAGACTGAGGAGTGCCCTGGGCCATGACGCTGGCTCTCTGGGCAGTGCTCCATATACCTCACTGACATTCAGATTAGATGCCATCTGGCCAATGCGGAAGCTGAGAAAGTAAGTCCCTTGCCCTAGGTCACACAGCACACCAGCAGTGGCCCAGCTAGACCTCCTAAGCAGTGGGCCTTGAGCATTAAGGCTGTGCCCTTGCCTCAGTGTCCCCATATGGAAAACAGTGTCAGCTCTTCCTTCCAGGCTGCTGCTCCTGATACTACTGATGACCCCAAGGGAAGGTACACCAACAACCCTAATGAAAACACTGAGGCCCAGAAAGGGATCATGTGCCCAAGATGATCCTGCACAACAGGCAGGAGCTGACTGGATGGTCACCTCTCGTCAGCTTTGCCAGGGCCTCATGAGTGTGGATAGTCCTGGAAGCTGACACTGACTTCCACATGACAGCTGTATATGAGAATGGACCCCAGACACAAGGACCCCCAGTGTATACACAGATATTCTCTCTCTCTCTCTCTCTCTCTCACACACACACACACACACACATTTTTTTTTCAGTACTGTATTGAACCCAGGCCCTTGCAGGTGCTGGGCAAGAATTCCACCACTAAACTATGTGCCTAACCCTATTTCCCCCTTTTACTTTTGCATATTAAAAGTCACACTTTTCAAAGAGAAAAATAACATGTTAAAAAAAAGGGCGGGGAGGTGGGAAAACCGAAACTTGTGGAATTGTATAGGACTACTGTGATTGACATAAGTGAGAGGCTGGGTGTTATTTCTTTTTTACTGAATAGAACAGCATGATCTTTAACCATATAATTTGACATTCTCTGCCAAAGCCGTTTTAACAGCTGTATAATATTTCATCGAAGGGACGTGCCCTTGCTTACCTAAGTCTTCTCAGCTGTTCTTTTTTCTATTTTAATAAAAAATGTGATATTTGAGACTTTTTTCTTTGAATAGATTCCCAAAAGTAGAATGACTGAGTTGAAGGGATGGGTGTTTTATGGCTTTTGATAAATATTGCCAACTTGCTTTCCTAAAGGACTGGACCAGTTTGCAATGCCATCAGCCACGTATGACAGTGCCGGTCTCACCATGCCAACGGCAACATTGGGTATTATCTTCTTTTTTTATATATATAATACATAATATATAAATATATACATATACATATAATTTACTAAGTTGGTTGGCAAAACAAAAGAGCTATGTCATTAATGTTTTAATGTACATTTCCTGGAGTGCTAGTACAGTTGAACATTTTTATATTTATCTGTTAAACATTTGTGTTTTTTATTTTTATTTTTTTGTGATTGTAGATGGACAGCATGCCTCTATTTTATTTATCTTTGTATGTGGTGCTGAGGATTGAACCCAGTGCCTCACATGTGCTAGGCACGTGCTTTGCCACCGAGCCCCAGCTCCAGCCCCAATTTCTTTTTGTGACTTGTCCATGTCCTTTCTATCTTTCTTTGAAGGTATTCCATCTTTTGTCCTGTTGTTTTTAAGCATTGGTTGGCTCTCTGCATATATGTATGTATGTGTTTGCATTAAGTATATCAATTGAACACTTACAATATACCATGCACACTTATATTTATTGAATTCTATTGAATTTTCATAAAACATTGTGAGGTGATCACTATTTTATAGATAAAGGAACTGAGGCTTAAAGCAGGGTATAGATTTGTATAAGGACACAGACCTCATACTCTGTGGTTTGGATTTGAACCCAGCTCTTACAGGAAAACTGACCCAGGCTTTAACCCCTGTGTTTCCTGTCTGAGCACTGGGACAGAGTTCCAACTCCCTTTCATGCCTCAAACATTTCCCAGGCTCTGTGCCTTCACTGAGGTGCTGAGCTGAGACAGATAAGGGTCAGCAGGAAGCAGGCAAGGAAATTATGCGGCTGCCCTGGATCAGGGGCTGTGGGAACACAGAGGATCTGGGAAGGCCTTTGGGAGAGAGACTTCTGAAGGGAGGGCTGCAGGGTGTGTGGAGTTGATGGAGCCTCTACAGAGGGAATAGCATGTGCCCGGCCCAGAGGCAGGATATCTGAAGGACTGCACAGGGACAAGTGACTGGAATGTCATAGGGACATATGGGGAGAATAGCAAGGAAGGAGATTGGGCGGGGCTGGACCTTACCCAGGGCTTCATTCCTGACCAGCAGGGAGCTGTAGGAGGGTTTGTGCAGGGAGAAGCTGAGATTTAGGCCAGGGATGAAGCAGCTTGGATGCGGCAGTGATGGGGAGGAGAAGCAGATTGGGGAGTTGTGGATAGAGATGATGGGACCTGCTGGTGGCTGGCATGGGTAGGACAGGAGAAAGAGGAATCAGGGGACCCCCAGGATCAGGAGAATCCTGGCCCGACCAGCAGGTGGACGGCAGGGCCCCTCATAGAGATCCTGCAAGTTGTTCCTCCCTTTTACTGTTGGGGAAGATCACAATGCCTGCCCTGATGCCTGACAGGTCAGGTGACAGACACGGTGATGGACCATGCGTGGCCCAGTGCCTGGCTCTGGTGGGCCTTTGATGGAAGGCAGCTAGTGGGGCAGAGGGGCCTCATTATTCAGGGACTAGACTCTTGCCGGTTCTCCCTGTGGGCCCTGTGCTGGGTCTCCCTTACCTGAGGGGTGCCCTAAAGCATGCCTGAGAATGAGCAGGATTGCTGGGGTGCTCAAGCCACTGACCCTGACCCAGAGGCATGTGGGGGGGGGGCAACCTCAACCCCCAGCAGAGAAGGAAACCTTCCCTAAAGCCTCCTCTGCCACAGTGTCTGAGGTAGGATGAGCCTTATGCTCTACTCTTCCCTCTGGCTGCCCTGGGGCAGGAAGGGTCTCTTGAGAATTTCTGATATTCCCAGAATGCTTTGGGAGCTGACCCATGACCCTCGCCTCTACCACCCAATCAGGTGTGAGCCCTCTTCTCTCTTCCTGCCTGCAGGCAACCTCCGGGGCTACAGCATGGCCACCCCGACTTTGACAGCCCCTAGCCTGACACCGCCCCAGATGGCACCCCCAAATCTGCAACAGTTCTTCCCCCAGGCCACCCGCCAGTCCCTGCTGGGCCCCCCTCCTGTTGGGGTCCCCATTAATCCCTCCCAGCTCAACCTCTCAGGGCGGATGCCCCAGAAACAGAGCCGGGCCCCCTCCTTCACCAATCGCAAGGTGAGTGGTGACTGGGATTGGGCAGGTCTGGGGTGGGGGTTGGGAGGGCTTGCCCGGGCCTTCAGGTGGGCCACATTCCTCTTTGTGCCTGGGGGTCTTCATCTGTGAACTGGGGAGGGGGTCACACTCGCCTAGTGTTTCCCAGATTTCAAATCAAATAGTCCTGTTTCTCTGATGTGATTTTCTTTTTGGTTCTGGGATTGAACTCAGGGACGTTTAACCACTGAGACACATCCCCAGTCCTTTTTTTGAATTTTGTTTAGAGATAGGGTCTCGCCAAGTTGCTTAGGGTTTTGCTGAGTTGCTGAGGCTGGCTTTGAACTCTGAATCCTCCTGCCTCAGCCTCCTGAGTCCCTAGGATTACAGCGTGTACCACCATGCCCGGTCCCAATATTTTATATATGTATAAACACAATACCTTTATTTTATTTATTTATTTATATGTGGTGCTGAGGATAAACCCAGTGCCTCACATGTGCTAGGCAAGCCCTCCACCCCTGAGCTACAGCCCAGCCCCACCAATATGATTTTACCAGTATTATACCAGCATTATATTTACTTATTTACTCAACATTTCTCTTTAAGCAGCACCGCCTAGTGGAAATAAAAATATGATATTTAATATATTACATGTGTGATTTAAAGTCTTCTGGTAACCACATTAAAAAGATCAAAAACAAGAGAAATTAATTTTACTGATATATTTTATTTATCTCAGCATATGAAAAATATTATCATTTCAACCTGTGATTAATGTAAAAAGTGAATTGGGAATAGGTTCATTGGCACACACCTGTAATCCCAGTGGCTCAGGAGGCTGAGGCAGGAGGAGCACAAGTTCAAAGCCAGCCTCAGCAATTTATCAAGGCCCTAAGTAACTCAAAGATGCCCTGTCTCTAAATAACATACAAAATAGGGCTGGGGATGTGGCTCAGTGGTTGAGTGCCCTGAGTTTAAAAAAAAAAAAAAAAAAAAGAGTGAGGCCTGGGAATGTAAGTCAGTTACTTGGTAAAGGTCTTGCATGGCACATGCAGAATCCTGGGTTCCAACCTCAGGACCAAGAAAATACCCAAAATTCCAAACTGCACTCAGGAGCAGTGTGTGGGAACCACCAGGAAGGAACCACCAGGAAGCTCAGGGACAGGATGCTTTGGGAGGAGGTGGTTCCTTGTGCAAGTCTCAGCCTTTGTGTGTTTATCAGGGAAAGGGTGAATAAGAACCTTTAGATTGTGCTACCCCAGGTGCGTTTACCTTTCTTTTTCCTCTTAGTATTTGGTACTGGGGATTGAAGCCAGGGCCTCACGCACACTAGGCAAGTGCTTTACCACTGAGCTGTATCACCAGCTTCTCTTTTTCTTCTATGTATGGCAATTAATTTAGACAGTTTAAAATTTTGTAGGCGGTTCCCTCTTAAAATAAAAGTAGCATTTATTCATTTGGCTTTTTGCAGTGCTGGGGATGGAGTCCAAGGCCTGGCACATGCTAGGTCCACACTCTACTTCTGAACCACTTGTGGGAAACTATGGTTCAGAGCTGGGGTGGGCGAGACAGGCTCAGGATCAGGCCCATGAGCCCCAGATGGGGAGCTTGTTGTGCGGGGTAAGAGCTGGGTAGTTTCTGAGGGGCCTAGAGTAGGTAGTTTTGGGGATGCAATGATGTGGGGTTCAGTTGTCTTTCCTGCTCAGCCTTGTATAGTGGACTTAGCAGGAGGAATGTAGAGGCTGCAGCAGGTTCTGGGAGCCTTTCCCAGGTGCCCAGGAACCAACTGGGCCTTGGTGAGTAGTGCACATGTGGCCTCTGGCCTGACCTCTTGCAGATCTCAGGGGCTGGTGGAGAGACTTAATGCAAATAATGCTCCAACCAGTTAAGACTGGAAAATGCCTCTGAAGGGAAGCTGAAGGCCTGGTGGCCTGAACAAGGGGTCTGGACCTCGTCTGGAGTCAGGAAGATTTCCTCTAAGAAATGCCTTTGAGGCTCGGGCAAAGGTGTGGGGCAGGAAGAGGCCCAGTACTTGACCAGAGACAGGGCCAGCGTGGACACACACAGAGGGCCAAGGGAGAGTGGAGACCCTGAGGCCAGAGGGTCCTGTGGGGCTGCTCTTGGACAGCTGGGTGGTAGGGGTCAGAAATGGTTTCTAAAAGGAAGCAGGATTCCTCTTCTCAGACGATGCCTGAGGAAGACAGGTCAGACCCCCCAGAGGGGTCTGAGGAAGCCAGAGAGTTCCAACTGGACACAGCTGAAGGTGAGGGAGGGAGGCTGCTGGCCCTTCAGAGGGGGTGTGGGTTGGGGCAGTGGGAGCAAGGTCAGTGTAAGGGAGGCAGATGTGGGAGGCAGGGATTCTTGGTGGGGAGAGCCGGGGCCCACCTGGAACTCACACGCATTCTGCCTGATCTCTCTCTCCTTGCCCGCCTCTGTTTCAGACCAGGGGCCGTGCCCCTGCCCAGAGGCCATCACTAGCGAAAAACACACTCGAGCACCTGAGCCTAAGCCCTGTGAGGCCTCGGAGCCACCAGCCAAGAGGACCAAGAGGTAACTGATGTTGGCAGCGCCCCGGGCCCAGGTGCCCTGCGCTCATTCCTGCAAAGATAGTGGGTGCGCCCTTCAGTGGAGTTGGAGCAAGGAGGGGCTTTGGCCTGTGGTTTGGAGGGAGGTGAGACTTATTTCTGCTCCTCCCTGGGGAGGCTTCAGGTCAGACCCTGGTGTTCACTGAGGCTGAGCCACCTGGAAGCCTGAGTGGTGGCAGGTTGGAGAGGTGAACATGCGCCCCTGGGACCTTAGAGAGTAGGTGTTTACAAGGCTGTTTAGATGCTTGTGAGCAAACTGTGGGAGAGAACAGTCTTCTCCAATTTATTTAGGGGAAACTGAGGTCTAGGGCTGGGGATGTGGCTCAGTGGTAGGGTGCTTGCCTAGCATGCATGAGGCCCCGGTTCAGTCCCCAGCACCACAAAAAGAAAAAACAAAAGAAGGAAACTGAGGCCCAGATAAGCCAAGGAACTGTCCAAAGCCCTCACTTTTAAGTGGAAGAGCTAAAGTTGGAATTGGGTCTTGACCTTACTGGGGACCTCTGCAACCTCTTGAAAGACATGACTTTGATCTTTTGATCCAAAGGTCAGAGGAGCCCTCAGAGAACGGGCCTCCAGGGCAGCCATGGACCCGGATGACAGCACTGAAGCAGACGCAAACCCCAGGGATGCTGCCTGAGCCACTGGAGGCCCGAGGGAAGCCACGATTCCAGCCTCAAGTACAGCCACAGACTCAGCCACAGATGCCGCCAGCGGACACCCAGGTGCAGCCAAAACTGCACAAACAGGCACAAACTCAGACCTGCCCCGAGCACTTAGGGCTGGAGCAGAATCAGGGGAAGCCACCGGCCCGTTCACAGCCCCCAGAGCAGGTGCAGCCCCAGCGGCAGAAGCAGGCCCAGACACAGACGCAGCCACAGCGCCACATGCAGGCACAGGCCCTGAAGCAGCCGTCAGAGCAGCCTTCTGCTCAGGTGCCAGTGCAGACCCAGGGTCAGCCGCAGGCCCAGCCACCGGGGTATGTGCCAGCGCCCGAGCCAACGCCAGCTCCGGCTCATGCCATTGTGCTGGAGGCACCGGCGCCCGATGCAGTGGAGGCTGGGGGAGGTGAGTGAGGTGGCTCCTAGCCCTGCTGGTGCTGGCACGGCTCTGCCCAGGCCCTTCTTTTTTCCCTGGTACTGTCCAGCCGCCACGGGTGCTGCCAGAGCCTGACGGCTGGGCCTGGAACCCAGGATTTCAAGGTCCTGGCTGTGGGCAGAGAAGGCAGAGGGACCCTGAAAAAAGGTGCACACCTGTCATTTCAGGCACAGAGGTGGCCTCTCCGGAGCCAGTGGATACCCAGGTCAGCGTGGGAGCGAGCCAGGAGGAGCCAGCCAGCGGCCTGGATGTGGGAGAATGTGAAAAAAGAGCCAGGGAGATGCTGGGGGTGGGTAGAGTGGAATGTGGCAGCACGAGAGCCCCAGAGGGCAATGGCGGAATGGCACCCCTGCCTGGGCCACCTCAGGGGCTCTGTGCATGTCCCGCATGTGCAGGGACGGCAGCCCTGCCTGGCTGCGTGGGCAGCAGACAGAGGGGGGGGGGTTGTCTGCATGAACACCCCACCCCATCCCCGCCACCACTGTCAGTTGCCTGCACAGCCTCCGCTCCAAAGGCCTCTAGGTGCTTTTGGTGACAAGAGTCCCTTCCAGTGAGCCCTTCCCCAAACTAGAGCCCTCAGTCTCCTCTCATAGGGGACATCGTCACCCACGTGGTAGCTTCTCTGTGGGGCTTGGCTCACAGCTCACAGTGGAGCTGCGGTCAGGCCCCTTCCCTTTCGGGTCTCAGTTTCCCCACCCGTCCTGCACGAGGTGGTGCGGGTGGGCTTTGGAGTTGGGCAGGTCCGGGCTCCAGTCCTGGCCACAGGACATCCTAACTTTGTGAGCTCCCGTACCTCACCTGCCAGCCCAGAGTCCCACTGTCTGAGACTCTAGGGACGATGCTCATAGGCAGTTAGCCCTGGGGCTGGCTTGCCCTAGGCACCCAGATAGTGGAAGCTCTGCTCCTGCTCCTGCTGTAGATGTGGGGTGCCGGGGGCTCCCTGAAGGTCACCATCCTACAGAGCAGCAACAGCCGGGCATTTAGCACTGTGTCCCTCACGCCTGTGTCCCGTCCCGGTGACTGCACCTCCGCCAGCCCTGCGGCCCCCGCGCCCTCCAGGCAGGCTCTCCAGTTCTTCTGCTACATCTGCAAGGCCAGCTGCACCAGCCAGCAGGTGCTCAGAGCCGGGCCCGAGGGAAGGGCGGTGGGCAGGAAGGGTGGGGGTCTCCATGGCCTGCACAGACTGCCCTTTCCACCGCTGCCGCAGGGTAAGCACTGGGCTCACCAGCCCTGCCCCGGGCAGCTGGGCCTCCATTGGTCCGCATTTGCTGACCAGCCAGGAGGGTGGGATTGTAGTCAGGCAGACCGGGTTCCAGTTAGCCCTGCACAGCTGGGAGGGCCTCAGCACGCAAGCTCCACTCCTGCTCCTGGTTCCTCTGGCAGCAGACGAGGAAACATACAGGGCCCACCTTGCTGGGGCTTCTGGGGATTCAGTGACTTGTCATTGAAGTCCTGAATCCTGGGCAAGTGAGTGTGGCATCAATAATAGCAGCCTTGGCCGCACGCACATCATGGCATGCACCTGTTGTCCCAGCAACTCGGGAGACCAAGGCCGGAAAACCAGGAGTTCAAGGCCTTTCTGGGCACAGTAGACCTCGTATCAAAAAAATATGAACATAAAAAATAGTAGGCTTATACCTATGTTGCTGCTGCTCTTGCTGTTGTCACTTCTTACTCGGTGCCTCCCCAGGGCAGAGCACGGACACCTGTGTTAATCAGAGAGCTCTCTGTCTTTGAGACCCTTTCTTCCAGGGCATAGACCTGGCTTGTGTGTATACTCGTTCTCTGCTCAGTTTAGTGTCCCTGCTCTGGCCCGCAGGGCTGTTTTGTAAAAGAAATGACCTCACTGAGATGGCAGGCTGGCCGTGAAGTCTGGCTGGAGTCGTCCCCCTTGGCCTGCCCTTGCCCATGTTCTGGGGCCCACCCCCCATGCCCATGCCTGGCTCCTTCATGCTACAGGAATTCCAGGACCACCTGTCGGAGGCTCAGCACCAGCAGCGGCTTGGGGAGATCCAGCACATGAGCCAAGCTTGTCTCCTGTCCCTGCTGCCCATGCCCCGGGACGCCCTGGAGAGAGAAGAGGAGTGAGTGGGAGAAGGCCTACCTCCTTCCAAGAGCCTATCTGTGTTTACCTCTTAAAAAGTGAAAAGTAGAATCATCTTGCACGAGGTAGTGCTGGGGGGTGGGCAGTCTCACAGGCCCAGCCCTAAATCTGTCCTCTGCAAAATCTGCCTTTGGATTAAGCATTGTCCTTCCCCAGAGGCTCCTTTAACTCAATGACCTTGGACCTTAGTTTTCCCCACCTGAAAAATGGCCCCATGAGGGTTGGGTTCAGGAATTCTTGACAGTCTCTTAAGGTTTCATCCAGTCAGGAACAGTGTGACCAACCATGTAGAAGGGAGGTGAGTTGTGGCACAGAGCCCTGCCCCTCTGGCCTGTGTGACCTCAACTGTGGGGATCCAGTGGTAAGGATGAGGTCATCTTGTGGCCTGACATGAGGGTTTCCTGTGTCCCCCTCTCATCATGAGGTCAGAAATATCCCCCCTCCTGGCTCTGGGACTAGTGCTTGGGGTGAGAAGGGCTGGGGGAAGCTGCAGGAGCTGTCAGGACCCAGCAGCCATCACAGACCTGCAGGGGCTGGCAGGTGTCATCAGAGAAGCAGGACTTTTGGCTTGGGCCACTGCAGGACATGGGCTCTGTCTACGGGACAGCTGCCTCTCAGCTCAAGTTCTCCTAGTTTTTCAGGAGAATCTAGAAACCCAGATGGCGTGTGACACCACCCCCATTTCAAAACGTTAACTGCTCATTCAGAATTCAAACAAACCCGAGAGGCCCCGGGGGACCCTTTTACAGGCCAGACAGTGACCTTCAGTCAGAGATCAGGGGTTCTGTGGTAGAGTGTACCCAGGCTGCAGCTCGAACCTCCCCAGGCTGGAACGAGGGACAAGAAGGGCTCTTGATTGGCCCCTGCTGTCATTCCTCATGTGACCAGAAGCTAGGTGGCTGTCCCCCCACAGGCAGCTCATGTCTCTGTTAGCGGGTTCTCCCTGAGAAGCACTTTCTTCCGTGGTTTTATCTGTAGGTGAATAATGACAAGCACAGGAGAAGGGAGCTCACAGAGGTGTTCTTTGCGGTTAATGTAATGGTGAAAGAATGGAACTGGGAACCACCAAACATCCAAGCTGGGGCTGGGCTAGACCAGCGGCGGCCTCCCACTAATAGGAAGGTCTGCGGGGAGCTTGCGGTAACCTGAAACGTGTCAGATGAAAATTGCATATGCAGGACAGGCTACGGAAGGAGGATCCAGGGGACACTATTATATAGAGAAGCTCTGTCTCCTGTAGGCGCCAGATTACCCACTGCCCCAGCTTCTGCACACAGTGACCTGGCAAAAGGCAGCACCTGTGTCCGCAGGAGCCCAGCCGTCTCCCTGTTTTCTTTTTTCTCTTGGTACCAGGGATTGAACCAGGGGGCCTCCCACTGAGGCCCATCCCCAGCCCCTTTTATTTTTGGGACAGGGTCTCACCAAGTTTCCCAGGCTGGCCTCACACTTGTGATCTTCCTGCCTCGGCCTCCCAAATTGCTGGGATCACAGGCGGGACCATCGCACCTGGCTTCAGTTAACATTTTGAAAATACAAGAACACACACACAGGGACACGCGCACACACGCGCACGCGCGCACACAAGAAGATAAAAATCTCCCATAATCCCATCGCCCAGAGATAAACATTGTCTCTTGGCCCGCCTCCTCCCATGATCCTATCTGTGTTTACCTCTTAAAAAGTAGAAAGTAGAATCATCCTGCAGGAGGTAGTGAACAGTTTTTGTGCCTCTGAATAGCCCTCTGCCTCACAGTCTGACCAGGACTTCACATGACTTCATCAGTGGATGTTGGGCTAGGTTCTTACATCCCCCAAAACTGATGTAAATCTGCTTATTTTGTAGAGCCCTTAATTTCACTAACTTGGAACACTTGTGGGTTTTTTTTTTTTTTTTTTGGTGGTGCAAGCCATTGACTCTAGGCCTAGCCCTGGCCCTCCCCACTCTTCCCTTGGGTTTGAAGCAGGGCTAAGGACACCCTGCCACTGAGCCACACCCCAGCCCCTGAGTTGCATCACATCCATGGAGCGCTTGGGAGAGCTGGTGTCTTTCCCACTGGAACATAGTGTCACACTGTGCTTGTTTGGATTGTCACCAGAGAGCCTCCACCGAGACGCTGGTGCAACACCTGCCAGGTTTACTACACGGGGGACCTGATCCAGCACCGCAGGACGCAGGACCACAAGGTAGAAGGGCTGCATGCCTCGAAGGCACTGCCTCTCCTCCGAGCGAGGCTGGGGAGGGGAGCCAGGATGCCAGCAGAGAGTTAGTGTCTGTCTCCATCTGTCTGTCCATCAGCGTGGCTTCTGACAAGCTGACCATGCTTCCTCTTTGGGCTCCAGGTTCCCCATCTGTCCAGTGTGGGCGTGGCACCAGCTTACCCTGCCATTCCTCCATGGGCATAGGGGTCCTCTGGCGGCTCCCTTGTGTCCTGTCTCTGACCTCCATTGCCACCTGCCATCCCATCTCAGTGCTCACCACACAGGGGAGAGATGTGGTTTTGTGTGTTCCAGGGCAGGAGCAGAGCCTCGCTGGCTTTTTATAGATGTGGAAGGTCTTACTTTTATGGATGATAGGTGAAGCCTTACTGGGCACTGCCTGGTCACTAGTCAGGGGCTTGCACGTGGGGACACTGCCTACCCCACATGGCTTGCTCTTCTTTCCCCAGATCGCCAAACAGTCTTTGCGACCCTTTTGCACCATTTGCAACCGCTACTTTAAGACTCCCCGCAAGTTTGTAGAGCATGTGAAGTCCCAGGGGCACAAGGACAAGGCCAAGGAGGTAATCACACCCATCCCAGAGGACATGGGCCCAGAGAGGTACAGAGCCTTGGCCAAGGCCACACAGCAGGTTGAGGTTTATCCCAGCCTAATCCATAGCAGTCCCAGAGGGATTCACTGAGGGGTGTGTGGCATCGTGGCTGCCCAGAACTGACCTGAGCCCCTCACCTACTCCCCTGGGCAGCTGAAGACGCTTGAGAAGGAGATAGCTGGCCAAGACGAGGACCACTTCATCACGGTGGATGCCGTGGGTTGTTTTGAGGGTGATGAAGAAGAGGAGGATGAGGATGAAGAAGAAGAAGAAGAAGAGATTGAGGTTGAGGAGGAATTCTGCAAGCAGGTGCTTAGGGTGGGCTGTGGGAGTCAGTTAGGGGGTCCTCGCTCCAACCCTGGGGGCCTGGTAGTGGGCTGGCATTTGTAGAAACTAATGAATGTCAAGTTGTTTTTTTGTATGTGTGGCGGGGGGAGATACTGGGCTTGAATCCAGGAGCACTTTACCACTGACCTACATTCCCAACCCTTTTTATTTTGAGACAGGGTCTCACTAAGTTGCCCAGGCTGGCCTTGAACTTGGGATCGTCCTGCCTCAGCCTCCCAAGTCTCTGGGATCGTGGGCTTGTTCCACCATACCTGGCCACAATTTATTATGCATCAGGCTAACTGTTGAGTGGCAGGTGGAGCGTGCAGGGCTCTGGGAGGCTGGCCGAGATTCTAGCCTGTGTGGAGGAAGGGAAAGGGTGGGACAGAGTCGGGAAAGGCAGAGACAGCAGCTAGGTAGTGGGCAGGACTCAGTGTAAGGCGACAGTGATGACGTTAGCAGCTGACATTTCTTGAGCACTTCCTGTTTGCCGCGCTGGGCAGGCACCATGCTCTGTCCTGGCATTTCATCTTATTGGATGACATGAAGCGGGTCTCCGCAGCCCCAGCCTTTGCTGGCCCAGTTCTGCTGCCTCCCAGGAGAATCAGATTCGTTGCAGAATCTTGCAAAGAATTGGATTCGTCCCAGTTTAACAGATGTTTCCGGTCCCCTGTTCTGAGCTGGGCTCTGGTGCTGGACACAGGGACAGGTGAGGACCATGGCCTGGTCCTTGCCTGGTTGCCCCCCTTACAGTCCAGGGTGGTTCCCGGAAAGGCACAGCAGAGGGGTTGGTTGTCACTCCTGGCACTCTTTGCCTGGTGAGTGGGCGGGCGCTGCAGACACAGAGACCCACGGGGCCAGAGACAATGGCTTCTTATGAGAGGGGCTCAGGTCTAGTAGGTGAGATGCGGGTCCTTGAACCCCATCTGAAACCCACCTCAGGACCGAGGTCACTGTGGTTTTGGACAGGAACTCGGGAAGCGGGCGGGGCTCACAGGTGAGTTTGGACTCTGACTTGAGCTCCCGGGGTTCGCCACCCCGCCCCTCCACAAACCAGCAAGTGAGTTATGTCTCCAGGGCCTCAGTGTCCTCTAATGTGAAATGGGTGCAACTGTAGAGGGCTGTCATGGGGTTGCAGTGAGGCGACACTTTGTGTTGAGCAGACTTGGTGTGGATTACGCCAAAACAGGAGCAGGGGGACTGCCTGGAGGAGGGGACCGATTGAGTGGAGGCTAGAAAACACAAACCAGAAGGGCCTCTGGGAGCAAGAGGAGCACATCAAGGCCCAGCAGATGCCACCCACAACAGCCTGGAAGTCCAGGGGATGTTGCATTTGAGGACACGGGTGGGCTCCAGGCTACTGACCTGTCTGGGAGGGGTCTCAGGGAGTCGAATTCAAGGTACACGCTTGCATGTCTCCAGGTGAGGTCCAGAGATATATCCATAGAGGAGTGGAAGGGCTCGGAGACCTACAGCCCCAACACTGCATACGGTAAGAGCCCGGCCCTGGGCCTGCACGCGGGGGCTGCTGGGGCTCGGCCTCCAGGCACCCCCAGATGCCAGCCCAGACGCTCTGGCCAGACAGCCTATGCCCTGCTTTTTCTTGGCTCTTCTACTCCTGCCTAGAAGATGGGGAGCAAATGGGCCCCTAGGGAGGGCGGACACCTGGCTGGTTCCAGGGACGTGTGTGGACCCTGCTGTCTGTCCCTCAGGTGTGGACTTCCTGGTGCCTGTGATGGGCTATGTGTGCCGCATCTGCCACAAGTTCTACCACAGCAACTCGGGCGCACAGCTCTCCCACTGCAAGTCCTTGGCCCACTTTGAGAACCTGCAGGTGAGCTGAACATCCTCCCACCCTGCCCTACCCAGGGCCCCAGCCTCTGACCAAGCTGATGGGGATGCTCAGTGGCCACCTCTCTTATGCTTAGCCTCAGCTCCAGGCACACTCCCACAACTGGAAGGAAATCCAAGCTGGTATGGGGCTGGGCTCTTTCTATTATGGTTCTGGGGGCTGCTGAGGGCCAGGCTATTAACTTCAGAGCTCTGGCCCAGAGAGGCTGACAGTATTACATGGGGTCATACAGCAGTGATGCTGTCTTGCCTGGGGCTGGGGAAGGAATTGCTGGCTGGGAGCACCCCAGATAGGCAGAGAGCCCTGACTTCTCTGGCATCCTCTGTATCCAGAAATACAAGGCAGCCAAGAACCCCAGCCCCACCTCCCGGCCCGTGAGCCGTCGGTGCGCCATCAATGCCCGGAATGCTTTGACTGCACTGTTCACGTCCCATGGCAGTAGCGGCCGCCCACCCAGCCAGCCCAGAACCCAGGACGTGGCCAAAACCACCAGCAAGGTGACAGCTCAACCCCCCAACCCTCCACCCCCTCCCCGGCGCTCAACTCGCCTCAAAACCTGAGCCTAGACCCTTCTGGGTCCCTATCTACTAATGCTTTCTAGGAGTGTATGTGCATAACTTTGACACGTGGTTGGTGTTTTTACTCAAAATCCAATAAAAGAAGGTAATTTTGGTGATGCAGTTCCCACCAGCACTTCTGTCTGGTGACCAGGGGAAGGGGGCACCACGGCTAGGCCGTTAACCAGGGCCCAGCCTCTCTGGGGACCATGTCGGGGCAGAACGGGGAGACCAATGACAGGCTCCCTGAAAACCAGGACTCACAGGGCATTGACCTCTCTAAGCCTGTCTCCCTCTTAATAATGTTATCAGGGTTAGGATAAACTTCACTGTCACCCTAGAAGGTGGTCTTGTGGCTACTTCCAAATTACAGATGAAGAAACTGAGGCCTAGCAAGGTCAAGTGACTTGCCAAAGGTCACAGAGCTGGCAAGTGGCCAGGATTTGACCCAGGTGTGAGCTTGATGCCCATGCTGGCCTCTCTGGCTGGACCTCGTGGGAGCTGAGGTGCAGGTGTGGGGGTCCTTGCCCCTCAGGCACTGTGGCTCTGAGTTCCTGGTTCCTCAGCAGGGCTGCGGCCTCCAGCCAGGCAGCGCTAGCAGGACCATCAGGAGGGGACCCACACCACACTGGCTCCTGAGTTCTGCTGTCTTCTCTCTTAAGAAGACCCTTAGAGACAGGCAACCAGTCCAGCCTGCTAGTGGCCGGCTGGGGAGACTCAGGCCAGGAGCAGGACAATGCCAAGGTCACGCAGCCTGTCTTGGTCCCAGCTGTCTTGTTAAAGGCCCCGGTACCCTGGGAGGCTGAGTGCATGCCACAGGGCCATAGGGCATGTCCAGCACCACTGGACCACTGGGCCACCACTGCATGTCAGCCAGGCTGGGAAGCAGCTGCTGGCCAGGGAGGGACACACCAAGTAGGGAGGAGGCCCCAACCTCACTGCACCCTCCAGTCCAAGATGGCCACAAACCCCACCCCTGGCAGATGCGCCCAGATGCCTTGACCACCCCATTCCCCTCCAGTGGCCACTGGAGTTCTCATCCCAGCAAACAGAGAAGAGGGGCACAGTGGTATGGGGGACCCGTTTAATGTGGACCCTTGGTCCTGGGAGGAGTGGAGGACTCAGGAGCTGGGCAGGCAGGCAAGTGGCGGGGTTGCAGGTCCCCACTTGGCCCCAGGAAGGATGCTGGGCAGTGGGGGCTGGCCCAGTGACAGACCCACCAGGAGACCCAAAGGCCAGACCGTGAGAAGGTGTCTAAGCCAGGTGGTGAGTGCTCGGCTGGTCTGGCCCAGAGAGGCAGGGCTGGGGCCTGGTGGGGCGCGTGCAGCCTAGAGGCTGGCATCACCAGGGGTCTCCCCGAGCTGCTGCTGGAACTCAAGGCGCGTCTGCCGGTTGGACTCCAGCAGCTCCTGAAGGCGGGCATGGAGGTGGTCGTTCTTCTCCTCCAGGTGGTCTAGACAGGAGTTGATCTGGTCCAACATGGAGTTGATGGCCGCATACTCTGGGAAGAAGGGGGAACACAGCCAAGTTCCTGTGTTTCCTCAGGACTCACACCCCACTGTCCCCCAGCTGACTCCAAAAGGGCTTGGGGCAAGTCCCTACTTCTGAGCCTCAGTGTCACTATCTGGAAATGGGTAGACAGCCCAAAAGAGGCTTTGAAGAGATAAAACTTTAGCGCAACAACTTTCTTTCTAGGGTTAGGGTGGTCGCAGGGCAGTCAGCCAGTGTCCTGCCTGGGAGCTCCTGCCCAGTCCCAAGCATCCTTTGCCCTTCCTTCAGCAGCTGCCTAGAGCCCACATTCCTGATTAGAGCAACCAACGCCTCTGTCCCAGGCAGGCCCCATTCTCTAGCCCTTCCCTGTCTCCCTCTGCCTTCAGGACAAAACACCCAGTGGACTCTCCCAGGCTCTGGAATGGGACCCAGCCCCTGCTCCTCTCTCTAGCCCCATCTCCCAAGTCTTCTCCTATCCTCTCACCTCAGGCCCTTTGAATGTGCTGTGCCTCTGTCTGGGGTGTGTGGGTTCCTCCTGTCTTCCTTTCCTCTTCTCCCTGATGAGTCCCACTCACCCTTGAAGACTCAGTATGGATGACACCACAGGGACTCTTCCCAGTGTCCCAGACCAGATCAGTCCTCTGTCCTGATCCCCCAGCCTGCCTCTGCTCACTTCCATGGCCTCCCCTCAGGACTGACTGCTGTGGTTATTTTGTGTGGTGGGTGTCGCCCACTCAAATAAAGCTCCTTGAGAGGTGACTGGTCTTGTGTTTGCTGTTGTCTTCCCAGTGCCCTCACTGACAAAGTAGGCGTTCGTTGAATGAATGAATGAGTGAGTGGAAGAAGCTCTGACCCCACCTCTGCCTTTGCTCAACTGTCTCTGTCACCTACGATGCTTCAGCCTCAACAACCCTTCAAGGACCAGCTCAAATGCAGCCTCCCAGATGTCTTCCCTAGTCTCCACTAGAACCTGGCACTCACTCCTCTACTGCCACTCTTGACTGGCCTCTCTGCAACGCAGTGTCCCTGAGGACCCAAGGTCTGGGCCTGTGCCCACTGCGGGACCCAGTTCTGAGCCAGCCCATGACTCAGAAGCACTCAGCTGCCAGTCTGGGACCAGAGGAGAAGCGGCTGGTGGTGATGGAAAAGGCCAGGGCCCAGGAGGTCTGGACTGGGGGTGCAAATGTGCCTGTGTTCTTGCAAATGGGCACCCCTCAGAGACAAAGAGTCCTGGGAATCTGTTGATCTTAAAGTCTATTCCACTCATGGTACAGATGGGGAAACTGAAGCCTCAGAAGAAAGGAACCAGCCAAGGGTCGTATAGCTGGTTGGTGACCACTGAAGCTCTGACTCGGGGATCAGGGCCCTTGGGTCTGAGTTCCAGCTCTCTGGGTTACTGCAGTCACTACAGTTCCCTTCTGGAAAAGGGGCTAAGAAACAAGTTTTCAAATGTATCAAGAGCTCAGCCACAAGAGTGCTTGTATAGCATGCATGAGGTCCTGGGTCTGACTCCCCCTGCAGAGCACACACAAAAAAAGCTCAGATAGGGTCTGGCCACAGGCAGTCATTACCATAAATATTTTGCACTGTGTCAGAGACAAACTGGAAAAAGGAATGGGGGAGGTGGGTGTCTCCACACCACTCCAGGCCAGCTATCTGTATCAAGGGTACTTAGAAGTCTTTCAGGACTTGGCTTCTCCCCACTGTCCTGTGAATCTGCCAACATTCACTTAAATGTAATCTCTGGGAGGCCCTTCCTGATGCCCCCAACAGGGCTACCAGCAGTAACCACACTGTTTGGTCAACAGTGCAAGTCTAGTAGCCCAATGCTTGTCCCCTAAGTGAAAGGCCTTGTACCTTTGTTAAAAGAAGACCCTAGGTGATTAAAATGTTCTAAGCTATTGTGATCAATGCACAACTATGTGAATATACTAAAATCCTAAAACTGTATAGTATGTGAATTATAGCTCAATAAAGCTGTTAACAGAAACAAAAAGCATAATCCATCCTTACCCCACATTTACAAAATCCTGTTAATACACCAATCCTTACTACACTAAAGAAAGCGACCATAATAACCACTTACTGAATGAATACCTGCCTTCTGGAAAGCGCTAAGCATTTTCCATTCAATTTTTCCTTTACTCCTGACCCATCTCAATGCAGGCGACACTGAATCATTATTCCTACATTATAGAGGGGGAAACAGCCCCGGACTGATGATTCTCCGGCCCTCCCACAGTGCTCTGCACACAACAGGATACTCTGGAGGCAGGTTACCCCAGCAAAGCCAGATGGCTGGGGGTCCTGACTCAGCAAACCCCAATGAGTCGCTCCGGTAGAGCCAAACTCGCCAAACTCGGCCCCGCCCGCGGGGGCGAAGGAAGTGGCTGGAGCAAATTCCAAATGGGCGAGCCCCTCAAGTTGCCTCCGTTTCCCCATCTGTAAAACGGGGCTGGTTGCCCACGGTTCCCCCCATGCTGCGGTTCCCAGGGATCCGTTCACGGTGCTCGCCCTGCACCTCCGAGCCGGCGCCTGTAGTTCGGGATTCACCCAGGGCCGGGTGGGGCGGGCTCTTCTGACCCTTCAAAGCCCGGTCCCCGACCCGTGCCCGCTCCCAGGAGGGCACCCCTGGAAAAGCAAAGGCCGTCCCTGCAGCCCCCTGGATCACCTGCTTCCTCGAAGCCATCCTCCTCGCCTTCCGCGCCCGCCTCCACCGGCATGCCCAGGTCCCCGTTGGGGCCGGACATTGCGGGCTTGGGCGCCGCTGGGGCCGCGCGAGGAAGGAACGCGGCGGCGGTCCGCCTCTAGCGGGCGTCGGGCGGAAAGTAGGAGCAGCTGGTAGAACGCCGGGCCGGAAGGGTGGAACGCAGCTGCGGATGGCGGCCGGGCCCCGCCCCTGGGGCGGAGCCACGCGGCCCGAACTCCACCCCGCCCCGCCCCGCAGGCAGATTCCGCCCCTCGACCCAGGCCCCGCCGGCGCCCCGCCTCACAGTCGAGCTCCGCCCACTGCCCGCTGGGCGGGGCTTGCTGCCCGCGGGGAAGCCCCGGCGGTGGAGGTCCGGGCTCGCGGCGAGGGCCAGCGAGCCCGAGCGAGCCCCGTAGAGGGGCGGGGCAGTGTGGGACCCCCCACTGCGGCCCATCCTGCTGCTTCCGCCCTCAGACACGGAGTTTCCGAGGCCTCCTGTGACTTCGGGAAATTCCTGTTCGCAATCCCCCAGAGTCATGGAGGGTCCACCTCCTGCCCTTCACTCAGTCCCCGCAGAAACGGCCCACACCCCTGTTCTGTTCTGGGCCTCCCGGTCTTCGGCATTTCTCTTCGGGCTCTCAAGAATTACATCTTGTGCGTCGAAACCAGTATGGGCTCCAGCTCTGGACCAGAAGTAGTGTTAGACCACAACGCAAGACAAGACCACTGACTCCAATTAAAATCAAATTAAAGCAAGCTTATTATTTCGACCGGCCCGGCTGCCTTGCCCCTCAAAATCGTGGGAGCCAAGGACAGCCCCGAGGCTTCTTTGTGGCCCAGTTTTATAGCCCAAAAAGTTACACAAAGGGGGTTACAGATAACAACACTCTGAAGAGCATAACACAAGTTTACATTTTTGCTGGCCCTGGCATCAGAATTTATGAAGATCTTAGAGACTCAGAGAGGGTCGTTATCCCGCCAGGGAAGGCCAGAATTTATGAGGCGTCACTAAGGTTTAGGAAAGGGTTGTTATATGGTCAGGGAAAACCGGACCTGGGTGAGTTCAGGGCACGGGCAGGCATTCCAATCAGCTTTACAACATCAACTAATGGCCAGGCCATACAGACATCCTGATATTTTTACAGAAAACAGAAATGAATCCTTCATAACTTGTGACAAGCTGGCTTCTGATCTAATGAGATAGCTAGGCTAGGTATATCAGTAGACACAGTCCCGTTTCAAGAAGAGCCGCATAACTGGGGCAGTGGTGGGGAGGAGTGGGAGACTCCTCCTGATTGTGGCCCCCAGGACTTGTCATGTTCATAAGGAAAAGGTTTGCTGCCCACCTCCTGCAGAAAGTCATCGGGCCAGCAAGTGTTGCTCCTGCATTGGACCCAGAGATGTGCCCTGGCCAAGAGTCCAACTGAGCTGCAAGCCCATGTCCCAAGGGAGGACCTATGGCTGTAGTGGCCAGGAGGACCTATGGCTACTGCAGCCTGGTCCTGGTCTCATGCTCTCAGATGGTGACATTGGGTGGAAAACTCTCCTATCCCTGAAGCCACCTTCACCATTTCACCTGAGGTAAGGGGAGGTGTAGTGGATGCTGCTATATGGGCCACCACTAACTTGTACTTAGCCATCCTGCCTTCTTCTCCCAGAAACCAGGCTGAGTGGCAGTGGGGTCCACAGAATCAGTACCCAGAGAAGTTCAGAGGTCTCTCATTCCGATCAATTGGTCCTCCTTGATGGAAGAGGAAGACCAGAGACAGGGATTTGTCTCTCTCTTTGAAGAAAAAGGAAGGAGCCCTAGCCAAGGATTGCACCGGGGCAGCTCTGGCTGCAAAGAGCAGGGAAGTGGATTCTTCCGAGGGCGGGAGGGAACAGCCCTGCTCACACTCTGCTTTTAGCCCAGTGAATCCAAGACAAACCTTGTCCTCAGAACTAAACCAGAAGGCACAAAGCCAACAGTTTGTGGCAATTTGCTACAGTGGCAATAGGAAACTCATGCCTCCAGTGACCCAGGAGGGGCCTGAGAGTGTATCCTGAAAGGCCCAGGAGGAGCAGGGGACATTGGGAAGTTACCTCACTTGGGCCAAGGTAAGGAACTGGAGCCCAGAGGTTAGGCGTGCCGCATGCAGATTCAGTCTCCTCGGCCAGCTAGAGAGCTTTGGCCAGTAGCCGCCCAGGTACCCTTCTCTGCCAGAAGCCATTCTAGACTTGGGTACAGTTCTCATCCCTCATTAGAAGCCCAGCCTGTACCAACCTGGTCTGTTCAAGGAGTCTGGCCCAGACTTGTGACACAATCTGTGGACCTGTCCTGCTTCCTGGGGAGCCAAGGCTGGGCTAATCATCACTCCATAGCTTCCCACCCCCAGCCAGGACAAGGTTTGTCTTGGTTTCACTGTGTGTCTGTGGGTGGGCAGCCTGGCTTCCTTCAGAGTCCCACCCACTCAGGCCTCTGACCATGCATGGGGAGAAGAGAGGCAGGAAGGGTATGTTCTTGTATGTGATGCAGACGTGGAGAGGCTACATCTGTGACTAGTGAGGAGACAGGGGCTTGTCAGGCCTGGCTCAGGTCCAGCCATATGATGGGTGCCAGTCTGGGGCCTTAAGCCTACTCCTAGGAGGCAGGATCCCTGGCAGCTTATCCCCTCTTTGCCTCTACTCACCCTCCTGAGGCTTCAGAATGTCCCCTCAGGTGGCTGGAGGTCATAGGGTGTGCGGGGGTGAGGGGCAGCCCTCTAAACTGGGTCAGCATGAACACAGTCCCCACCTATGAGTCTGGCAGGGGGCCAGGGTTATACCCTTACTCACCCTCTGCCTGGAATTGCCCTCAAACTAGGTAGGATGCACCCATCCCTTCTTCTGTGCACCCCTGTCCTGGATGCAGCCTCCACAATCCACAGGGGCCTGGTGAGTCAGGGTAGATGCATCTTACAACCATTCCAGGCCCCTTCAGCTCCCTGGCCCTGTTGCGGCCAGTGCTGTGAGGCCTGTTACCAATGATTTAGATGGGCATGAGGTGTGGCGCCATCAGTGCTTCTGTTGCCTCAGGCAGCCCTTGTGAGCA